AAGGAAGAGAACTTATGCACTTTATAATTATTGATATGTATGCGACTTATGATTCTGTCATTCATGAAGGATATGGAGATAACGAACAATATTCAACATCAAAGTCCATAAAACAATACAAAATAGGAACAGAGTAAACAGGGACCTCCAAAACACCAGAGGTGGGATCTAGGACTGTATCAATATATCATACGGAGAAAAATATCGTATCGAAAAATAACTTCCAATACGTATCGGACAAATAGTTTTTCTTCTAATTCTGTTAAAAAGATGGGAATTTCAATCACCAAAGATTATATTTCACTTTTTTGAAATAAAACTGTTCACACAGTTTTTATAACTGTTACAAAATACAAAGACAATTGTGTGTTCATAAAAAGTTTTCATTTGAAGAGTTATTTGTAATGTCAATGAGACAAGAACTATAAAATGGGTAATAAAACACTTAAATGTTATGAAAATTATGCATTAAAATGATTTAGAAGCCTTTTTCGATGGACTTGTTTTAGAATCCAATATATCGCATATCGCTTTAAAAATATTGTATCATATCGTATCGAAATTTTTGGCTCAATACACAGCCCTAGTGGGATCAGGTGCCATGGAGGAGTGAGCATCCCTTGACGACCTGTCACACCCGCCTTGTGCTCCTTGTCATGATCGGGAAATAACGGAAAGATCCGTCGTCAATTCAGTGTACATATAAATATAATGGACTAACAATTAGTATGAAAAACGTCAGTCAGCATTTGACTCAATATTAAATTGTATTTGCTGACAAGGTCATGGTATCGACCATAGAACTTACGAAAAGATGACTTAAAACAAGACTGCTGATAGTCTTGGTTCATCAACTTGTTTGTCAATAAATTACCTCATTTAGAAATTGTTCATACGTAGAGCATGCTCTAGCGTATCGAATCAATTGAGATATATAAGCTCCGTATGCAGGCGATGAAGGTATATTGCTGCATAGGTAGGGGAAGTTGATGATAGAAAAGTTAAAATCATCACGTTTATCATAGAGCTTAGTTGTTAGATTACCATTAGTGTCTTTTTCAAGTTAAATATCCAAGTAGGAAACAGTTGTGTCAGAGTCTGTGGTATCTTTTATCTCAAGCTCACCAGGATATATCGTGTCGACATATGAATGAAAATTACCGTCATTACCTGATACGGTACGTATACGTCGTCGATGTATCTAAATGTCGAGTTGAAGGCCACAACAAGTGTTTTCTTCTTTTTATGCATAAGATTTTGCATAAATTCTGATTTATATGAATACAAATATATGTCTGCTAATAACGGAGAGCAATCGGTACCCTTGGGAATTCCAATAGATTGTTGGAAGACCTGGTCTCCAAAAACCACATAGATATTGTCAATCATCATCGAACATTTCAAATTCGAACCAGAATCAAAATAATTCAATGCAGTGTGCTCATTGCAACCAGTCAAAAAAAAGAACAATTTTTTAATAAGTTCAGAGTTTCCAGAGAATCTAGAGATTGTAAATTAAGTAATAATATGAAGGGAATACATTTGACTAAAATAAGCGATAAGAATGTAGATGCAATCCACATCTTTCTTTTTCCCAATACCAAAGGTAGTCAATTTTTCTTAATATGAAGGATGCTAAATTTGCCTCATACATCAGTGTTTGCACCACAATCCAAAGTTAAACACTCATAAAATTATTTTTAGACTTACAAAAAACGTTATATGATCTTAATTTGAAAAATTTTCCAATTACGAAAATATGGAACAAATTTGATTCTAATCCTTTCACACAGAAGGGTAGCCATAACTCTACAAAGTAGATTACGAAAACATTGATATCAAAAGCCCAGCACGATGACACAGATAAAGAGGTGCTTGCTACGAGAGACTTCCATCAAAGAGTTGGAATCAAAGTGATCAGTGGTGAAGAGAGAGAGACCATTGTTATTGTCTTTGACGTATTTATGATTCAAATGTTGAAGAATCGGTAAATGCAAAAGAGGAATCTCCCTTCCACAGAACCCGCTATATTAAGTTATGGAATTTTTATATCCCGTTTCATGTCATACTGCTATCATAGTTTCTCCTCCATCTCCAGATGAAAGATAGTTTATATCCAAACTCTTTCAAATGGGTCGTATTTTATATGTTTATTATTAGGATCGTTTTATTTGGTTTGTTTTATTATCTGAACAGAGAGACAATCAATCCCAATCGTTTGTGAAAGAGCAGCGAATCAGAATCGGTAAAAAGGTAATTACGGAACAGTTAGAAGTTCATTAATATATTTGTTCGTTTATCTTTTGTGAAGGACGAGATAAGAAGCTTTTTCGCTTGTTGATTTTATGCCTATTACTTACGGATGGTATTGGATCTGTCATCTTGCCCGGGACTTCTTCATTATAAATATACTTTGGTGTTTTGCCATGTAGGTAGTTAGTTAAAGGCCGTTTATAGAGACTTTTGTATTTAAAAACTAAGTAGATAAAATTTATCAAAGGTTTATAGTGATGTTTTAAAGTTTTAAATAGTATGTAGTGCATGTGTCCTTTACAAACTCTTTGTCGCCACTATATTAAGTTGACCTGAAACAATAATACACTCTTAACGCAATAAGCATATGTTATTTAAGGTTCATTTTTCATGTTTTTCTCTTGATAGTAATCTATATATTTTCCAGAATTCGCTATAACATAGTTACGATTGGTATAATTGATTATAAAACAATTTCATTTGCCAAGATATATATAGAAATCATTTTGTATGAATTTGTCAAAACCAAACTGTAATTTTTATTGCATTGATAAAAAAATGACCAGATAGTAAAATTACTGTTATATACATACAAACATATAGATCGTGTATTCTATATACATGTACATACTGAAAAGGGATTCGTCTTCACAAATAGATGCGAATACGTCTTTCAAATATCAAAGTATTTTAGACATGTGTTAAAAATATCTTGTGCCATTTATTGTTTCCAAGGTTATATCTTTCGGTTAATCTCATCCAGAAAAATTAAATTTAAGCTCTATATTGGTGATTTGTACATCAAGAATAGAACTTATCTAATAAATTAGGAACAGCTTCTCACCAACACAACGAGCGAGCTTTTCAATGACTTCGTTCGATCTAACGGAAGAGAATGATTTAGAAAAATGTGATTACTGGCATTTTTCTCGTTTTCTGTTAACACCAGAAAGAAAGTGATTCAATTAGGGCTCATTAAGGAGGATCGTTTTTCCACAGAGATATAAAGTGTGAGATTGGCAAGGCGGCTGTCGATGTTACGCCGTCAATTGTTTCCGACAACAAGCAGCTCACCTGTCAGTCAGATTCCCGACCAATGATCACTTAACATTCGATAAATCCCCAATTATCTTCGTGTGATGAGCAATCTTATCACATGTTACTTTGACTTTTAGATCAGTGGTTTTAGTTTTGTTTATTGGTTATGCTATTTTTTAAAATCCCATCTGCTAGATACAGGTATCTTTTAAAAGAACAATGCACATTTTTAAATAGGATATTAAATACGGATCCATGAAAATTTAAAAGGTGGGATCAGATGACTAAAAGTATGGATTAGCCCTAGTCGACCGGGAGCACCTGCCGTAAGCCCTTTATATCTATCAGGTAGATCGAACATTCAGTAGTCCCATTAAGTATAAAAACTAAGACCTTACGACTGGTATGAAGTTTTGTGGATGATAGAATGAGTTTGTCAGCAAATACAATCTATGATGAAGTGAAATGCTGAAGACTTTTCATATTTATACAGACAATTGTTGAGCCATTATTTATACATTGAATTGTTGACGGACCTTTCCTTATTTCTCAATCATGACAAGGAGCACATGGCGGGTGTGACAGGTCAGCAGGTGATGTTCACTCCTCTATGGTACCTGATCCCGCCTCTGATGTTTAAGAGGATCATATTTGCTCTTCTACTGATTTGCATGGTTTAATTAAATTAACTTTTGAGTTTTAATAATGTGCGTTAACTCTACATACTCATTAATCAACAAATTGATCCTATAGTAATATATGTTTTTCTTGATAATTACAAACCTTTAGTCTATATTATATACCGATTTCAATAAAACTATAATATACATTTTTAATATGAAAGAGTGAATAACTTCAGACACTAACATAATTATTTTAAACAAATCTGGAGGATCGTCTAATTATTGTACCGGAAAAAGATATATTCTTCATTTCCATTCAGTTTTTATGTCTATTGACACTTTATGTATTGTCTACTTATCTCCCCCTTTTTCAATCATCCAGTTTTAACAACAGAGAGCTTATCGTTTGAGGAACTGGCATCATCATCCGATTCTTCCCACACAATCTCCTTCGGGATATGTACATTGGGTATTTTGGAAGCTTGACCTAATCTATGCTGGTTGTTTTAATGGTTGTGATTCTGGAATGATTATTCAGCGCTATATTGAAAAACAATGTTCAGCAGAATTTCATCGATGAACTTACTTTCGACCGATAATAAAAGTTCATCAGCATTCATTGATGAATTTTCTGTCCCACAATAAAGTAAATTTAAGTATTCACCGATGAGCTTACTTCGGCCTGATATATTAATTTTTGATTACCATGTATTTCTTATTTGATAAATATTGTGTCAAATGAAACTGGAAAGGTCAAGTGAAAACATTTTGCCTAATTGGTTAATATCAATAACAAATAAATATACTTCTAAAGCGATAAGAATATATTATATCTATTTTTGTTGTCTAGTTGGCAAAACTGTAATTTATCTTTTTATCATCCCCACTCATCTGTATTTGCCATTTCCGCGTTAGGAAATTTCTTGAATATGATCGATAATGCAGGCACATCTAAAGGATCTATCAATTCTTGCAAGTTCCAGGATTTATAATATTGGTGTTTTGTCACATAAAAACTCCGTCAATCGTAGTATACATCGTGAAATGTTTCGTATGTACATACTTAAAAGACTTGTACAAAACACATAATGTAGGAACTTTATTTGATGAATAACAGTAGCTCATGATATGACAGACATGAATAAACACAAAGCAATGAGATTAAAAAAAAAACGTAACTTGCTATTTTAATGAGAAGTACAAAAAAGTAATCACGAAATCAAAAATTATAATTATTCTCAGAAAAATGGAGGCAATCATAAAAATATTTTTATGCAGCTAAGTTTCGTGTAAACATGAAATTATCTCACACAAAGCAGTGAAGTTATTTCTGAAAGACTATCATTTGGACATTTTCCATCTGTGTGTCAATGCTTTAGCAAAACTTAGTATCGTAATTTTTCCATACAAAGAAATTTTCCTGTTGTCATTTCATCTGATTCCTTTTCACTCCATAATCATCTGTTTCCCGAGGGAATGACGAAGAAAATGTAACATGGCACAATGAACTCTCTAGCAGATACCTTGTTGAGGTGTCGTAAGGAATCGTTTCTAGAAAACAAATCTTTTCCTTTTTTGGTTCGGTCCAAACTGCAGAAAACGTCCTCTCTTCAAAGGTCCGGGTTATTCTCCACCTTGGACCAAAGTTGTTTGCCAAGAGGTATCTTAATTTTCGTCATGTCACTTGCAGATGACAAAATATTACAATGGCGATCGCCTCCACTATGAAGACCATTATTCGAACAGCCCCAAGGATTTCTATGCTATTCCCAGAGTTATACGTCTCTAAAAATACAATAATTTGCTATGACAGGTCTTCCAACAAGAATAAAAGCTTTCCAAAACAATCAATACAGCTTACAGAATGTTCAAATTCAATTTATCAAAAGTCTTTTGGATTTTAATTGAGAATGCCGTTCTAATTTTATATATTGTGACAATCCATATGACATTTTTCATACCAGGCATTTTTTTTTATCAATGTAAAGAGCAGAAAATCGTAATTCTATCAAAATGTACTGTAAAATTTAATTGATATACTGGTAACCTTGTTTCATTGAAGGAAAAAAAACCAACAGTCTACGGAAAATGCAATAAACAAAGATGAAATAGAATATGATGATATCTTCAGCTATTTGAAGATAAAATGACTTTCAATATTACGGAGTTGTTGAATTGATGTGCGAATCAGTTCAAATAATGAAAGGAATAATCGACGTGCTAAGCATTATTACACATTTCCCTCTTTTCAATTTAATTAATGAACGCATGTTTTATTTTGGGCGTAACAAGATGGTGAAAAACTGTGTATCAATGCTCAGCAGTAATACCCCGCTTGATTTAGATTAATGCTATAATGAATACCACTATATGTCATGTCGTAACAAATTATGTGCTTTTCAAGTATCTTTTTGAATATTTAATTTGTCGCAAGTAGAAAAGAAAATATAAAAGTTAAAACACCTACATACAGACAACTTACATTATCAATTGGTAAAAAAAATTATAACACTTACAACCATGTACAACGTAGGAACTTTTCATTATATTTAATATCAATTCTCTATAAAAATCAAAATTTTAAATAGGGTCTCCGATTTAGCTGAATTTCACAACATTTACTACAAGTGGCATATCTTTAATAAATATGATGTTAAAGTCTAACTTTTCAATTTGGTTGCCATGGTAACAAGGATGTTATATTTAGAACCCTCCGATTAAGCAAATTTTGCTCTGTTTTAAATTAAATTAGTGCACATTCAATAAATTAGTGTAAATTCACATGAAAATTATATTCTCTGAGCCCATATTACTTAAATCTCAGAAATAAATTTCATTCATGATATTTGAATGGATACTAAGCGAATTTTCATCGCAGCATTTAGGCTGTTAGTAAATTGGCAATTTGCCAAATTTGTCTTTTTTTAGTCATATTCATTGAAATTTTTCACCATTTTGACAACTGATATATTTGTAACCATTTATCATTAAATAAGCTATATATTCTAAGGTTTTATGAGAATAAAAAAAATATGGGTAAATCAAAAACTTTCTAGAAATTATTGCACTAAAATTGGCAATTTGCCAAAATTGACTTTTTTAATTCATATTCAATGAAATTTTTCACAATTTTGAAAACTGATATATTTGTAACCATGTATCATTAAATAAACTATATATTCTACGGTTTTATGAGAATAAAAAAATAATAATGGGTAAATCAAAAACTTTCTAGAAATTATTGCATGAAAATTGGCAATTTGCCAAAATTGACTTTGTTTTAGTCATATTCAATGAAATTTTTCACCATTTTGACAACTAATATATTTGTATCATTAAATAAACTATATATTCTAATCATACAAGACATCTTGGGGGACAAATCACCTACCTTGAATATATTCAGCGTCATGATCTCCTGAGAGAAGCAGGAAAATAAATAAAAGAGCATTGACCCTAAGGACTGTATTACAAGTAAATATATGACCAGTCTTAAATGCTCTTAATATATAATTAAAGTTCAGTGACCGTCATCATTTGTCTAGAGAGAAAATCCAACGAATAGTTAATAAGCAGTGGATATATGAATATACTTCTATAATATATTCTGAAATACTGCAAGAAAGCATAGGGATATAATTGAAACACTCAGTAGTTATTTCTTTTGTAAGAATTTTTTTTTCTTCACATTTCTAATTTCTGCAAGGGATCCAACAAAGAGTTGACTTAGGACATATATTATATGATTATAGATTACTAGTACAATGTATGAATGCATCACCTAATAGATCGTTTTATAGATTTAAATGCCTTGTAATATGTACTAAATTCATTATTTACAGAAGCCACTTTGTATCACATAGGCAGTTCTAAGAAGAATAAAAAATTCTAAAGTTTTGTGCATTTCATAAAACACTTTTGCTAATGATCATTGTTAGCATTATTAATTTGGCTTTAATGTCGACGCACTACATAAAATGCACCTAATTTCACTTCTTTTAGATAAAATGACTGTTTTAAAAAATGTTTATTCTCAAAGAAGCACTTAAAAATGCAGCACACTCACCTCTTTTATCAATACTTGATGATCCTTCTGAAATGTAGATAACATAATATCAATGAAAAAAGTTACATCGTTTTATTTTCAAACATCAATACATACGAGGGTCATTCAAAAAATACGTAGACAATGTTCCTCACCATCACATTATTTTTACAAAGTTTAATATCAGTACATTTTTAAATGTAAAAACATATATTTTATAGACTTTTGAAGTTTCATTCCATTTGATTAAATGGAACTCATGTTAGCCAATTTTAAAAGCAACATGTTTTGTCACCACGGAGCACGGTCAAAAACATTGCAACGTCAAAAACAACGTTGAAGAATGTTTGTCAAACTCACTTTGCCTTTTCATTTTATACACAATTTGTATCGTATTCCTCATTCATTAAAACGTATCCATAACACTTGACACCTAGTATGCTAACAATAATTCGAGTATACCTTAAATAAGATTGTCAATGTTTTCAAATCCTTTACCGTGTAACTCTGCTCTTAAAGGTTCCGCAACAGTGAAGAGCACACCACGTTTCATGACGTTACTAACTCTTTTGACAAGATTTTGAACTATAATCCGTTTCTTTGCAGAACGCCCATCGCCTAATTTAAAGCTTTTACCCCTCAAAAATTGCCTGTTCCATTATAAACAAATACACGGCTCATTTTATGTATTTTTCCTGGTTTCTCCAGCATATTCGGAGTGTGTTTTAGAAGTCTCCAAATGCAAAACAAAATTATTATGCTACTCGCTGCTCCGTGACGTCCTTAGACGTCATGATGTTTTGCTTTTTTTTTTAATCAAGACTATCTATTTATAGAAATTGATATCTTTTAAACAAAGCAACGTATTACATTAACTTTTAGCTTCTGAAGTAATGAAACAATACTAAATTTAAGTACTAAAATTTTATTTCATTTAAGGACAATTTTAAAGAGGTATGGCTATAGATATGAAAAGTGAATAATCAGTCAATAACTTAATTTTGACCCTGCTCCGTGACCCCAATTTTGCTGTCTTAAATCTTTGATAATTTTGATAAAAATCAAGATATATTCCAATTTCTTTGCTCAAAATAAGTGAATCTGTTCTAAAAATATATGTTCCAAATTTGGTTTAAATATGACGTTAAATAAAAAGGTTATGATAAAAGTCTACGAAATTTTTGAATGACCCTCGTAGTTGTGTACACAACATCTTCGATCAAATACCTTTGAATAATATTAATGAAATACAAGTCAGCGAGTTTAAATAGTGATAGACGGAACTTGAATTAAATCGTATTAAAGGACAAGTTTCGTAGACAGTAGAAAGGTAAGCATAGCTCTGACTTCCTTACCCGTCAACATACTGAATTTTTTTTTTCATAGTAAGAGATTATTGTTTTCCTTTGATAAAATTTAATCTTGATGAAAATGAAAGATAAAAAAAAATGTTTATAAAATATTTTTGTTAAAGAAAAAAGGAATTCATTTATTTCCAATTAAACCAGTAAGCCCACGTACCGTCTAATACATGGACAGTCTTTTTTGCTATATCATCTGAGATCCGACACATATAAGTGCCCGAGTCTTCCATTGTAGCTCGGGCTATGTATAAAACACGTTTAAGTATCTTTGTTTCTATGAAATGAAAATCCGTAATGTTCATTGCTCGTCCTCGAAGACGATGATGTTTCCATATGTAGCTATTGTCTATTATTTTTCCGTCTTTATACCATTCTAAGTAGTCGGACACCTGATTAAATCCAGTAGCCTGACATTCCAATACCAGTGGATCACCTTTATTGACAAATTCTGATCCATTCAAAATTATGCCTACAAATTAGAAAACAGCGAAATGAAAGAACATAAAAGTCGGAATTTTAAAGACAAAATTAAGTTTGCATAACAATACATAGTTTATGTATATTTGCCCCCTCTCTCAAAGTAAATTAGATCTTTAGGGAACTGAATGTCATTTATTAACGATGTTAAAGTTTTTGCAAAATATGAAAACTTGAATTAGAAAAAATATACAAAAAATAGAATCTCCATATTGAAAACAATGATAAACACTGTTACACACGTTCACAATAGAATACATGAACATGTAAAAGCAGTTTCATAACATGGCATTAAAATATATATACCAAAGACCATACACTGCAAAGTTATGTCAAATTACTTATATCTAGCTACCTACAGTTTTATGGTAGAAATGTAACTTACCATTTCTTATTTAACTGTATATAACCCCCAAAAAGCAAAACTGCTATACTGTTTATCCTTTAACACGTGGTTTAAGCATATCATACTCAGAGAAATGATGTATTTTATGTTATCACCAACATACATTGAAATGTGTTCTTAAAAGGGTAAAAAATATGTTAGCAAGTTTTTGAAATGTTTTTTGGGGGGTGTAATCTCCAAAGAAACAATATCATCCAAAATGAAATTTAAAAAAAAAGAATACTTATATATATAGTGATGTTGAAGGGTTGAAGCAAGTTAGTTAGTTAGTTTTGATACAATGTTCCAATGTACCAGTTCACATTAAGGAAAAAAAGGAAACACATGAAAAGCTGATTACGTGAAGTCTTAATATGTTTTAGTGTTTTATGAGAAATAAATTGGAAAAACACAGTATCCGTTCTAATTTCGTAATGAAATGTAGTTAAATATTCTAGTAATGTAATTGCCATTCTCATTTGCTTGATATTAAAGAAAATGTGCCTGTTGCATGTTTAGAAGCACATGGAAGCTGTTGATGAATTTGATGCCAGTAGCAGACGACAGTAAGGATTGAAAGTCAAAACTGTGTACTTACCTGGCGGAATTGTCGTGACTTCTGCAAATGAAAAATTGATAAAACAGACTGATGAAGGGAAGTTGCACGGTGTGCCAGTTTTTGCGTGTTCAAATTGTGTGTAAATATTTCATTACACATCAAATTACATTGCTCTGCTCTACTAGTAATTGAAAATAACTTATGACCATATGAAACATCTACTGACACATTGAATTGAGCCAGGATGTTTACGCTAGTCATTACAATGATAGATGTTATGAACAGGCTTTTTGTCATGCAAACAGTTTACAATAAAGCTACTGGGAAAAGATATCTTCACAATGAAGTTTATGCAAGAGAAAGTTTATACGATCTATCATCAATCTCTGTATCGCTTGGATATTCATAATCGTGAGTTTGAGTTTACCAAGTTTAGAATGAAACGAAGTTGTGAAATAATCAAAAGAACGATTGTGATAAAAAAATTAATGACTTTCTTCTTCGTAGATAAATACATGTATATATACTTTATTTGACAAACATGAAAGTTTAATCTTCATTTAACAATTTGTGATCTTTTTTAATTTCAAAAGCAAAAAAATTTAAACATGTTTACATAACAGTTTTTGCCCCGTCCCTCAATTTCTCGTTGGTACCAAAAGGAAGGTCTTCTCACAAGAAATACTTATGGCGATATGAAAGCCCTATTTCTAATTGTTCAAAAGTTATGACCAAGGTTACAATTTTCTAGAAGTGGGTCTAACATTAGGGTCAAGGTCAAAAAGTCCAAAAAAAAATTACATCCTCTGAAAGATCCTGTCAATGTGAATACATAAGTGAAGTATTAAAGCCTAGCTCCAATAGTTCAAAATTAAAATTTGGAATTTTGTAGAAAAAAATGGGTCAAACCTAAAGCTCAAGAGGTCAAATTTGATGGTATCGCCAATGAATGGATTTGTCACAAAGAATACACCAGTAAAATATAAAAGCCATAGGCCTATCTACTCAAAATTAATGAACAGGGTTAAAGTTTTTTGCGGACAAACAGGCAAAAAACCCAGACAGACGGACGGACATGGCAAATGCTATATGCCCCCTGAATTTTGTTTACGGAGGCATAAAAATAGAAAAAGTCAGTGAACAACGATCATGAAATTAGGAAAAAGTTGACTTTAAACAAGGCCATTGAAAAATCTGAAACTTTAGATAATTTGTAAAAAGCCTTTAAAAAGTAAAATTGATACATATCTTACTAAGAACATGTTCTTGCATACCGAACTAGTGCTAATTGTAACGGGGACCGTTACAGATGTTCCCCAAACGCCCCCCAACTCCCTTTTGGTGCCATATTCCCTGTAAGCTTCATTAAATAAGACAAACTCTAGACTAAGCATCTGAGATTTTAACAACATTTACAAAGAAGTGTACAAAAAATCATTTAAACTTTAGCATTGCACGCCTGCACATGTGAATGCATTTGCGTCATGACCATATCATCTTGTCTACACAATCTATATTTTTAATACACTGAATATTAAAGTATTTAATCCTTAATTATTGAAAAATACGCTCATTCAAGTGTATGTTTGATCTTACTCATTTCACGTGCACGCACGTGCATACATGAGCATGGTGACCATACCTTCTTGTAGAAGTCCATTACATCTATCTATGTTCTAAATTCCACCCTGTTTGGGTGAAAACTAAGGGAGTTATAGCTGTTTAAAGTTTCAGCCAATCAGATTGCAGCACATGTACACGCACGTGTATGCATGTGCATGTTGACCATATCTACTTGTAGAAGTCCATTATATCTATCTATGTTCCAAATCCCATCCTGTTTGGTTGAAAACCAAGGGAGTTATAGCTGTTTAAAGTTTCAGCCAATCAGATTGCAGCGCACGTGCATGCACGTGTTTTCATGATAATTGCTTTATTTCATGTTGTAGGATATCCTAATGCATGGCTATGTTCAAAATTTCAAAGGATTTCGTTAAAAAACAAGAAAGATATTGAGACTTTAGTTGCAGCCAATCAGAGCGAAGTGCACGTGCATGCGCGTGAGATCTTGCTATTTTCACCATGTGGTCATGTCTATACTACTAATATATCCTCACATTATGAGTTTCAAAGCATTTCATCTAAAAATAGAACAGTTGTGGCTATATCTATTATATTGGTCATTTCACGTGTTGCACGTGCACGCTCTTGCAAGCACGTGCGCGCAAAATGACCTTGATTCCACAAATCTACATAACATGTCTACTAACCCTAAAAAGGTTTTACCTACATCGGACGAACAGTTTACAAGATCATTCCCGGACAAAAAAGTTTCAGGAAGAAGAAGAAGAAGAAGAAGAAGAAGAAGAAAAATAATAATAATAATAAGAAACAGAGTAAAAACAATATGTTCCCCAACTTCGTTTGGGGAACATAATAAGGAGACAAAAACACCAGCGGAATATTATTGTTATATTTCGACAATGACGATAGACAATCAAAAGGCATCCCTATTGCCAAATACTTTAATCAATAAATGAACAGTATTTATTTTTAATTTTAAGTTTATAAGGGATAATTAAAACTATTTTTAAAATAACTTATGAAAATACTCTTTTTCTAATGTTTCTAAGGTTTCTGCAAAAACTTAATATCTAAGAGAAGTACATTCTATGTAAGTACCTTGTGCGCTGTGGTATACGTCTTGATTTGGTGTTGTGTTTCATCCAAATTAAGCATTTTAGGAGAACAATGACATTATCATTTTCGTCCCTTATTCTCAAGCGTCCATTACGGAATGCTCGGCCACTTAAGGTGATCCGATCGTTAACACGCTTATCATCCATCATGCACCATTCAGCCATTATGTAGGATTGAACAACGTCAATTAATATTACCACTATCAAGATTTATTTATCATAAGGCCTGTAAAACTTTCTTAGAACTGTACAGATCCGACTGCCCTATCTCTTTCGATTTAAGAACCATCCATTTATTTGCCTGGGTAATACTACTAAAATTTAAGTTTTATTTAATCACTATTCAACTTTTTCATATATACATTTACTATTCAAATTTAAATAATGAAACAAATATATATTTATGAAATATGGGAAGATGACGAAAAGTATTCAAGCTCAAAAATCCATTTAACAATACAAAATAGGAGCAGAGCAAACACGGACCTCCAAAACATCAGAGGTATTTACCCCTATTTAAAAAAATTAAACAATGATATCTTTAATATATATATCCCCCAAATTTTTTAATTTTTACAAAAGCAATATAAGACCAACAGTACTGTACAATTTAGTCATTTTAGCGTTTATTTAAGTAGTGTGCACCTAATGCCCCGCCATATTTTTAACCTCTGGGTACTTGTATGAAACAGCACAAATAATGCATTTCTACGAGTCTAGTGTAACTTTTTGTCTATATTTATTTTTGTTTTTCTGCGCATGATTTATTCTTTTACGCATTGACGTCGTCAGTACTCTAAAGTAGTCGATTGAATGAATGGTCCAGCTTTCTGGATCCGAGGCATTAGCATTAAAGACAGATCCTAGGGGAATGTGGAGTATATGCGATTCAATTAGCATTTTTCATACAAAGTCATAAACGTTTCAGAAATGTCTGTTTATTCAATGCTGGAAATATTATTTTTCTATTATCATTTACGGCTTTTATAAATGTTAACTGTTTTACCGCGTAACACTTGTCAAAGATAATGGTTAGTTAAACTATTAGCATAAATCGTCAAGCAACTAAATATAACACCATTGCTATAAATAAGAAAATCTTGTTATTTATGAAAAAGTCGCTCATGTATTTCTTTTCACTTTCTTTTAGTGACACGTAAATATTTGGAGGTTTTTCGTCGAAAATACATTTTTTTGCATATGCTCTTTCTTTAAAAATGTATAGTGCCAAATTAGGTTTTATGATATGAGGGGGTATATTAGTATTTACTGTTATTAAGTGATATCATCTAATCGAATAGGTGATACCACCTATTTAGTAAGTGATATTAACTTTTCGCATTTGTGATGTCACCAGTTCAGTTATTGAATTGATGATATGACCTATTCGAATAGCATCTTCGCTAGACAACCTTTTACCTATATAGCCATGAAATAGTTATATTAAGAAAGCAGTCAGACTTTGAAAACTGCATCCAAATGACATCATAAAAAAGTTAATAAATTATATTTTCTGTTTACCTTTTACAATAAGTTTGATCAGTCTCCTGTACTTCTCTCTGCTCTCTCCGGAACTAACAGCACAAAAATAAACACCTGCGTCTTCTAGTTTAACATTCCGGATTTTGAGATCCCATTGTGTGGAGGTAGGGTCTTTACTGACAGAGAACCGTGTGTCCGGACTGTATACAAAAGTCCCAACAGTAATAGGGTTAGGTTCGGACATCCTCATCCAGTACAGCTAAGAATCAAGTAAAAATGACTTGGCTTGATTAAATAACATTTGTTAATGTTACTAGTAATTCATAGCAGTTTTCACAAATGTTTTAATATATGATGTTTTATTTCACTGAAAGCAAAAATATGTCTAACCTACCTGTAGAAGATCATAAATATAAGCCATAGACTGTAAAGGTTTATTTCAAAGGAAGCTAGGTTATAAATTTTGTTTGATTTTCAGCAAAAGCCTTTAAAACATGAGCCTAAGTTAACCATAAAAAAGTTAAGTAAGAATCTTTGAAAGACCTCTTTAATGATTGGTCAATTTTTCTACAGAAATTTTCTATAGTTGTTATAAAAATTTGTTCATAACGATTGGAATTATCTATGCAGCTACAAACATGGCATAAAATACTTTCATAAAAACCAGATACCCAATACATATTTGTTTACATGTACATGCATGTATCAATGCACCTTGTTATATATCTTGGTAATACCTAAAAAGATATGATAATCAAAATGTAAACGATGAACTTCATTTTTATTTAGAAGGACGATCTGATATGAAATATGGAGATAACGAAAGGTATTCAGGTTTACATTTACCACTGAGAAGAGATGCAAATCTTAGTCTTGACACTCAGGGCCATTGAGCAGTGAGGGATCTTTATTGTTTCAATACCTACTGGAACCTGGGTTATATTGTCAAATTTTGGCTATAACAAACAGTATTCAAGACTAAAAGTCAAATCAAATAATACTAATCAAAAGCAGAGCAAACAGGGACCTCCAAAAACGGACAGAGTCAAGAGTCAAGAGTTTTTGGTTTAATTATAGATTGTATTTGCCGTTAAAGTGATTTTTACACCTTCACGAGACTTTACAAAAATCAACAGCTTAAAAACTTACGACTTTTCAACTTTATACACAACAATTCCCCGCGACAAATTAACATTTAGGCTTTTTGATATCATTGACAGCTGCTTCTTCAATAAAAATGGAACTCGTAAATTTACTTACCTCGTCATTGGTCATCATTTGAAAAAATATTTTGTTAAAACAGATTCTGATTGCACACATAAGTACTCTGAAGTTGACATCAAGAAGATGCTTGAGTTTCTGATTGGCAATATCTATGTGGTTTTTGGAGACCAGGTATTCCAACAATCTACTGGAATTCCCATGGGTACAAATTGCGCTCCGTTATTAGCAGACTTATTTTTATATTCATATGAAACAGAATTTATGCAAAATCTTATGCGTGAAAAGAAGAAAACACTTGCTGTGGCCTTCAACTCGAAATTTAGATATATCGACGACGTATTGTCAATTAATAATGGTAATTTCCATTCCTACGTCGATACGATATATCCCGGTAAGCTTGAGATAAAAGATAACACAGAGTCCGACACTTCTGCTTCATACTTGGATATTTTACTTGAAAAAGACACTAATGGTAATCTAACAACCAATCTATATGATAAAAGTGATGACTTTAACTTTTCTATCGTCAACTTCCCTTACTTATGCAGCAACATACCTTCATCACCTGCATACGAAGTATATATATCTCAGTTGATTCGATACGCAAGAGCATACTCTACGTATGAACAATTTCTAAAACGCGGATAAATTATTGACAAGCAAGATGATGAAACAAGAATATCAGCAGTCTCGTTTAAAGTCATCATTTCCAAGTTCTATGGTCGATACAATGACCTTGCCAGCAAATACAATTTATCATTGAGTCAAATGCTGACTGACGTTTTTCATACCAACTGTTAGTCCATTATTTACACACTGAATTGACGACAGATTTTTTTCCGTTATTTCCTGATCATGACAAGGAGCACACGGCGGGTGTGACCGGTCGGCAGGGGATGCTCACTCCTCCATGGCACCTGATCCCATCTCTGATGTTTCGGGGGTCCGTGTTTGCTCTGCTCTTATTTTGTATTGTTTTATGGACTTTGAGATTGAATACTGTTCGTTATCTCCATATCCTTCCTTATGATAACTTCAAACGAGACTGTTGATATCCTTGTTATATCATATTGTTGGTTACTAACATAGCTCGACTTAAAGATTCGACATTTGAATGTAAGTCACTATTATTAATTGATAATGCGTGGTCAATATACTAGTATCTCGTATATACTAGTAAATAAATTTAAGTTTACTAAAAAATTTTTATTGTAATCAATAAGTGTCCTCCTTGAATGTGAAAGTCTGAAATATTGTATAGCTATGCTTTGTAATGGTAATTTTGTTTCATGTCTTACCGGGGTAGGAGAGGCAGAGTATCTCCCTTTACAAAATTGGTTTATTTCTCATCTTGATATCTTGTGTCTGCTAAAAATTATATGTCATTGTTAATAATACTTTTGAGAATTTCAAACAAATTATTAAACGTCACAAAGGTGGCAACACACGACAAACTGTTTTACAGACTTTTTACTCATTGAAGTAGGATAAGATAAGGTGTTTGAGAGTTGAAATGATTATGGAAAGAAATTAGCAAGTTGATGGGTAACCGGGGTATCAAAATACTTATTGCATTAAAATAAACGTTGAATTGAAGGTCAACACAAGTGTTTTCTACTTCTCATGTAAAATCTTTTGACTATATATTCTGCCTCATATTAATACAAAAAGAGGTCTGCTAATAATCGGTAGCTATGGCAATCTAATTAAAATTAGATGTTAGATCCGCTCGCATACTCGCTACAACGTTAGTATTGTAATTTTGATTAGATTGTACCTATGGGAATGCGAAAAGAATGTTGAAAGACTTGATTTCCAAAAACTACAAAGATATTGTCAATCAGAATCTCAATATCTCTTAAATATAAATGAAATATACGGATATAACGAACTATACTCAAGCCGAAAAGTCCACAAGAATATAGGAGCAGAGCAAAGCAAACACGGGCCTCCAAAACATCAGGGGTGGGATCCAGTACAATTGAAGAGTGAGCATCTACTGCCGACCGGTCACATGCACCCGCCGTGTGCCCCTTGTCATGTTCACTAAATAAAGGAAAAATCTATCGACAATTCAGCGTGTATGTAATGGCCTAACAATTAGTATGAAAAAATGCCAGCCAGCATTTGACTCAATGATAATTTTTATTTGCTGACAAGCTCATTGTATCGACCATAGAACTTACGAAATTATGACTTTCAACGAGACTGCTGATATTCTTGTTTCATCAACTTGTTTGTCAATAACTTACCTCATTTTAAAAATGTCTCAAACGTAGAACATGCTCTTGCATATTGAATCAGCTGTAAGATGCAAGATATAAACCCCGTATTTAGGTGATGAGGGTTTATTGCTGTATATGTAGGGGAAGTTGACGATAGAAAAGTTAAAATCTCATTTGTCACAAAACTTGGTAGTTAGAAAAAAATAGCGTGCTATTTAAGTAAAATATCTAAATATGAAACACATGTGTCAGACGCTGTGGTACCTTTTATTTCAAGCTCATCGGGATATAAAAAGTAAAAAATTTTAAGGTTATGATTGCTTACCAGAATGACTTAGTTTTAAATGAATATTCGTTTTATTTTCTTTTTTGTGCAGGAAACCTGAGGATACGTTTTGTAAGAAATAAAAACGTCTAGGAAGGAGTCAATCAGTCAATCGTTTGAATAGCATTTTACTTAAAAATATCCCTAAATATGTTCATTAATGATACAAAGATAAATAAAACAGTATTTTTTATTCTATTTTACTAGTTCGTAGATATAAACAATGTCTTTGGGACTTTTTAATCACCCAGGTTCATATCATTTGGAATAAAGATACATGTATTAATTAAATGTTATTATATAACGTTTAATTCACACCTTTACAACAAGAAAGTCATTTAAAAACATCAATACTTCACGAGCTAAAGTGACATTTAAGACTTACTTTGAAAGAAAAACGATTATGCTCTCATGATGGAAGCAAATTTGATTTATTGTGTCCAAACTGAATGAAATCAACACTCCCGAGAGATCTGATAAGCGCTTTATCGGAACCTGACAAGGCAAAAGCCCGCGACAAAAAGACATTTTATCTTTCCATTGAAGATCAATTGACATATTCTCTCTTGACTGGCAGCATCAGAACGTTTTCAAGGCTATACCGGTAGGATTTTCTTTATATTAAATGATACATTTTTTAAAAATATTTCCTTCTTTTTTTATTTTAGGATACTTTTATTCTATCATTATAGTATATTTTGAAAGGAGATCCACTTTAATTAAAAAAAATAATAAAAATAAAAATAAGAAATTATATCTTGATGGATGTAGATCACAGAAAATTTACAATAAATTTCAAAATCAATAAAAATTAATTGATCAACCTCAAAGAACATAAAATGACACTAAAGATAATAAAGATAAGCATCAACCAAAATACAAAGAAAACCAGAAAGGGGCGACCCATTACATCGACATCCAGCTATCACTTTCAAAGCTGTTTTACCTTTGTTTTTGATTTACTCTCCTTCAGACTCAATTAATTGGATAAGATGATAACGGTTGTTTAATGTTTTTCTTTCATGTCAAAAGAAATTGTTTATCTAAAAGCGGGGGAGATCGTGTTTATTGTTAAATTGTTGATGATAACTGTTTTGCAATACCAAAGCATCTGGGTAAATAAAAAAAATCAATTCAACTACATCAAGGAATGCAAAAATTCTTCTGAGATGCTACAAGTAGAAAAGAGCTAAACATAAAGAAAACTGAATGAAATACATGTATCCTTACTTGTGCTGTAACAAATACCGTATTCAAAAGTGCAAAAACAATCATTTCCTGAGTTTGTTTAATGATGTGTACTAATTTTATGTCCGTGAACATCTGGTTTAAAGATTTTTTATACGAAAAAACATATGTAAACCGAAGGTCACGTTATCAAATATTCAGGTATATTTAAATTTTACAATTTTAGCATGCAATCACCGACATAATTTTTTTTGGCAGGATTATCTAACATACAAGAAAATATGAAATTTAAGTTTACTTGAAACAATTAAGGTAATATTACACAATCCCAATCTCAGGTCAATTAAACCGGCTCTGATGGGGTGCATAACTATATAATGTAGACATAGTACGAGAGAAAGAGAGAGATTGTATTTTTCTTTCTTTTCACCGAGTGTATATTTAACTTTTACAATTTTAGCATGCAATTACCGACATAATTTTTTTTGGCAGGATTATCTAACATACAAGAAAATATGAAATTTAAGTTTACTCTAAACAATTAAGATAAAATTAAAAATACAGGTTCGAATCCCACTACAGGAGGTGGCTATCAATTCTTTAGATGATCGAGGCAGTATACATGTAAACGTAGGTCCCGTGTCGCAATAGGCGGTGGGATCAGGTACCATTGAGGAGTGAGCATCCCCTGCCGACCGGTCACACCTGCCGTATGCTCCTTGTCATGATCGTGAAATAACGGAAAATCCGTCGTCCAATTCAGTGTATAAATAAATGATTAGTATGAAAAACGTCAGCAATCATTTGACTCAATGTATTTGCTGACAAGGTTATTGTATGGACTTTAAAAGTTACGAAATGATGACTTTAAACGAGACTGCTGATATTCTTGTTTTATCAAATTGTTTGTCAATAATTTACCTTGTTTTAGAAATTGTTCATAAGTAGAGTATGCTGTTGCGTATCGAATAAACTGAGATATATAAGCTCCGTATAGAACTTTTCATATTCAATTTCAATAACAGTTCAGTATTTAGGCATATACATTGTCTCCATTATTGAGGAATGTGGTGTTATCGAGCTCTCTTACTTTCAAGTTTTTATTCTCAATGTCTGAGGCAATATTAAAGTATAGATACATTTATGTACATGCTTGTATGTGCCTGAAATCACTCTAAAATACTAGTATTTCATTGGTATTGTTATAACTACATAATTAAGCCTAAAACTCATATTTTCAAAATCTTGGCTATTCAAATCTATCATTATTCGTTTAAGTCGCCGAATTACAGTGTACATTTATTTAACTAAGTACTTAGGTAATTACAAGTCTATTTTACTTTCACCAGTTACATACTTACATATCTGGTTTGCAAATTGACCACGTGACATGGAAGTGTTGCAGTTTCTCCAACATTAAATGTAACGTTGTTAGGTTCGTTGTAGAATGAAGGTTCCGAAAAAACCCCATCGCTTAAGGCTGAAAAAAAACAAGATGGGTGTGTGAAAAACGTAGCGAACGGAAGATTTAACTTTCTCAAATACAAATCAAATATATTAGCACCAAAAGTAAGGACTTCTCACAAGAAATACACTAGTTGTATATGAAAGCCCTAACACCACCTGTTCAAACGTAATGGCCAAGGTTAAGTTTTTTGAAAGTAGGTCAAGCTCCAAAGTCAAGGTCAAAGGGTAGAGTTGTTAGTATCCAAAAGAAGGTCTTGTCACAAGGATAACATATGTGAAGTATGAAAACCCTAGCCCCAACTGTTCAAAAATTATGGCTAATGTTAAGGTTTTTAAAAGTAAGTCAAATTCCTAAGTCAAGGTTTAATGTTTAAAGTTGTTGATATCCAAAGAAATGCCTTGTCATAAGAATTACATGTGTGAAGTATGATAGCCCTTGTCACAACTGTTCAAAACTTATGGCTAAGATTAATGTTGGTTAAAATTTTGCAAAACTGGGTCAGACTCCAAGTTCAAGGTCAAAAGGTCAAATTTGATGGTACCGATAGAAAAGTCTTGTCTCAAAGAATACGAATGTGAAATTTGAAATTCTCAACAAAATAAATTGCAGCTGAAATAGCAATGCAAAAAAGCTTAGATATTTATAGATATTACGATATTTCCATATTTGCCGCAACATCACACACGCTCAGAGGATTGTTCGTGTTTACGCATTATCGAGCACGCACTCAGTATCCTACCTGTTTGATAGGAGCAAAAAAGACCAATTATACACATAAAATCTTTACAAGCAAAAAAGGACACTAGTCCTAACTAGGAAGTCCTGGTTTGTAGAGAATGGGTGTATGTTTTCATCTTCTTTCACAACAGAATTTTTTTAATTAGATTTATACTATTCCACATTACCCTGATTTTTTAACTTTACTACAACAATAAGGGAGGAACCAGTCTTTCAATGAACAAATTCTACAATAAAAAGTTATTTTTTGATAGCGGGCAGGCCTCTCATCCTTTCTGAAACAACGTGCCTGTTCACATTATTATCTTATAACATTAAAAATTGCAATATAGCTAAAGGTTCTTGGGGTACATAATGAAATTCCTACAGCAACATATATCCATTAAAGTGCAATCCATGGAGGCGGAAATGCTCAGTGATTTTATGAATGGACACCATTTAGAATTTACATCGATAGCATGATTTGTCTATGAGTAGGTTTTCTGTATCTTAATTAATGGTGACCATTGATCTTCAGTTGACATTTTCTTGATGACATTAAGTTGATAAGAAGAATTAAAAGGACTTTAGGACAAATTAAAATGTTTTCTCTAAGAATGATTTCATGATATGTAAGTCGACAAATTCTACTTTAGAATATCAATAAGGCTTTGATGTTACATTTTTCTCCCTCTAAACATGTGAATATTATTTTTTATATATTCCATTCTCTTAATTAAATCAACATCTAACTTAATTTAATATTTTTTCATGACTATAAGCAATTCATAAGATCATGCAATGCAATACATTTGTAGCAAAATGCAATGTACAAAAGTCTTCATTTCATCGATGTTTTTTTTTTTCTTGACAGGTTATTTATGAATTCTTACAAATAAGATTTTAAAGAGCAATGTAAAAAGAATTTTAATTCAATTTGTCCTTGTTATTAAAATGTTTGAGTAGCCATGTGACTTTATAATTTAGCTCGTTTTATTCAGAAAAATGAACAATTAGTTATAAAAATTTAAGCAAAGTAAAAAGCAAAAACTGAGCCTGATTTAATGCTTACCAACATTTATCTAATTTTAGCAAACAGGAATGATTGACATATTTTACTTGAATTATCAAAAGAATCTGATAAAAACTTAAAATTAAAAGAATCTTCCTCTTTTTCAGATTAGCCTTGAGACCTTTAAGGATGGCCAACTAATAGAACGATTCCCATGGACCTTGAGCTTTGTGTTAATGTACTTAGAAAACATTAAATATTCGTTAAAAGCAGATTGAAGTTAGTGCAATAAAAGATGATGATGTGATTTATATTTGTCAGGTCAATCATTTGCATTTAAAAAATAATGAAAACCATACAACAGTGGTTTACGACGTATTACCTGTACATTATTTATGATTATATGATTAGTGACCTTTCGATAATTTTTACTGAGGAAACGAGAATTTTTATTGTTCATCGTTTCGTACAAAATTGTTCCAGATGGTTAAGCTAAGGAGTGGTATATAAACTATACCCCCACCAAGGTTATAAATATTCCAGACAAAATGTTTTAAATATCTGATAATCAGTGGGTTTTTTTTTCGTTTGAATAGTTAATAAAATACACATATGCCACGCAATGCTGTACTTACAAACCCATACAACATGAAGAGTGCCAACTTATTAAAGTTGATATCAAAGAGGATTATCAGATGTACGAAATTTCATTTGTCATGTAATTTACGATCACTGTGTCAACTCAGATATAGCCAGGGGATGCTTACTCCTCCAGGCAAGGGGGGGGAGGGGGTGCTCACTCCTCCATGGCAACTTATCCCACCTTTGATGTTCTTGAGGTCCATGTATGGTCTGCTCCTGAAATCTTTTTATGAACTTGAACATTGTTTCTTATTTCCATACTTCGTGCATTTTATGCACTTTCCTTACACTTTGACTAATGGATTATATAGTATTGTAAAATTACTTGAAAAAGACATGGATGGTTAGCCTAATAACAAATGGTAAAGATAAAGTGATGACGTCAACATTCCTTTTCTCAACATCCCTTTAATTGTTTAGCAATACACCTTATATCTTCTTTAAATGAGGTTTATGTCTTAAAGTTAATTCGAAATACAAGGTCGTGCACTTCGTAAGAATAATTCCTAAAATGAGACAAAATGTTTGTTTTAAAAAAAAGTTGACGACGCAAGAATATAAACAGCCTTGTTTAGTCTTGTTTAAAGTACTGATTTCTTAAGTTATATTCTAGTAGTTAATTCAATGACCTTCTTAGCAAATACTTCATTAAGACGAATGCTTTCTGACCTTCTTAAATACAAATTGTTATATCATTATTTACACGATGGGTTGTCTACGAATCCCTCCGTTTACCGTATCATGACTAGGAGCACGTGGCGGGGTGTGACCGGTAGACAGTTGATGCTTACTCCATAATGGCTGTTGTTTCCGCCTCTGATATTCTACGAGGTTTGTCCTTCTCTGCTCCCGATTCGTATTGTTATAATGCACTTTAGAGCTTAATTTCTGTTCCTTATTTCCATTTTTCACGTAAAGAAGGGATTTTTCAAGTTTTATTCTAATATATTATATAATGACCTTGTCAGCAAATACATCATAAAGACGATCGAATGCTGACTGACTTTTTTTCTCATATATATATTACATTTAAAAATGAATTATTTTTTTGCAGATTCAAGAACAAGTCAAGTAATGAAACACTCAAGAAACTGTTGTATGTACACTCCTTGTACAGACGAATGCAGTGAAATGGAATGGTTTTAACTTTTCGTATTACTAAAATTATTGAACTGCATGCTCTTCGTTTTATTTCTATACAAACATTTTAAAATTTTGACTTGAAGTTTGTCTAAAACTGAAGTTTTGCAAAATGTTGTAATCTAGTTTTAATCAGCTAAAATTTGAAAAAAGAGCTATATGTTATGCTTCGAGTTTTCCAGCAACTACTAGTACTCGATATTTTCATTGAACACAATGTCAAACTAATCATTTTTTTACGAATGAAACTTAAGATTATAAAGCATTTTTGACAAAAAATTGGAGAATACGTGTAAAATACTAAGTTTGCTTTTCATGTTCTTGACAGCTTTTGCACACAAGCTTCACGAATCTGTGCACTTTTTTGTTCATTTACGAAATAGTTTGCGTTTTTTTAAGATTCTTCCTTTTTCACGTTTTATTTGTAGACTTGCATATCTTTGATCTCAAACAGAAGAAGAGATAATGATTGTACAGAAATGACGTTTTGCTACTGTATAGTATATTTTATAGCCAAACTGGAAATGAGATTTAGCTCAATTGACGCGAAACAATCTAAATGAACACCGTTATGATCGGCAAAAGACCAGATGGAACATCTTGATAACACTTCCCATTTGTGATCGTAATCTTTATGTGCAACATTGTAGTTTTTGTAACACGTCCGGGCTGAGGTTAAATTAATTCGGTGATTATAATTATGTTTCTTAGCAAGACTTTGACATTTGAAAATATTAAAGACTATAAGTTGAAAATGATTTCCTGAGAATGGCATTTGATCTACATAAAATGGAAATCTTCAAAAGAAAGCAATGCATTTTTTATTTAACAAATGTTCATTTTCATCACAACTAACATTTTGTTACGTACATAAAGCAATTTATTCAGAATTTGGGTGTATTGTATGACCCTGAACGATACCAAAGAGGCCTGCACTTTCTAGCAACAAAACAGAGATATATGTACATTACTGAAAGACGGGGTCAAAATAATGAAATTCGCGATTTTGAATATCTTACAAATGAACGGTTTTTTTTAATCTTACTAAATAAAAAAAGAATTTTAAAAAAAAATAGCGAAGACTTTAGTGTTCGATTCAGTACTTAGGATTCTAATTAAGAGTCATTATAACATTATTCGATTTCAATTTTTATTTAAAAAGCCGACACTTCAGGAAGTAACATTGACCCTGACTAATATTACACATCCTAGAATTTTTTTTTAATTTAGTGACTCTTCAAAAAATAAAAATTTAGAATGTTTCACCTGTATCTTTTCTTCAAGTGGAACGAACTTACATTTTTGATTTTAGTGTTTTTATTTCGAAAAATGCAATTACTTCAATTTTTCTTTAGCGTTAATTCAATTGTGATGTTATATACATGTACTTCTGTTTGAGGCTTGGCAATTTAATCTCTTTGCATCAATATCATTTTTAATTGGTTTAGTGAGCTTTGTGTAATAACAGTTAGGCAAGTAAGTTTGTAAATAAAATATGAAAATAACGAATAGTTACATGTGCATCAAGCTCCTTAGTTTATTGATCAAAGTTGGAGAAAGGCAAACAGAGACACCGAACAACCGTGGAGGTAGCCAGGAACAGTTACCTAGATAATAGTTGGCATTCCCTGCTGAATAGGCAAACGTGTCGCATTATCCTAGATCGGACAAGCGGAAAAATCCACCGATTATCCAGTGTAAAAAAATAGCATAGGAAAGTGTATGAAAAATGTCAGTATACATTCGACTTAATGATAGATTGTCCTGCTAGCAAAGTCTTTGTATCATCCATTCAATTTGCGAAAAATGACTTAAATGAAACATATGGAGATAACAAACAGGATTTAAACTCAGAAGTCCATAAAACAATACAAAATAGGAGCAGAACAAACATGGAACAACGTCAGTCGGCATTTTACTGAATGATAAATTGTATTTGCTGACAAGGTCATTGTATCCACCACAGAACTAATGAAATGATGACTTTAAACAATACTGCTGAAATTCTTGTTTCATCAACTTATTTGTCATTAATTTACCTCGTTTTAGTTATTGTTCATAAGTAGAACATTCTCTTGCGTATCGAATCAATTGAGATATATAAGCTCCATATGCAGGACTGGTGATGAGGGTATATTGCTGCAAAAGTAAGGGAAGTTGACGATAGAAAAGTTAGTCATCACGTTATCATAGAGCTTGGTTGTTAGATTACCATTAACGTCTTTTTCAAGTTAAATGTCCAAGTATGACACAGATTTATATGTGTCAGACTCTGAGGTATCCTTTCCCTCAAGCTCACCAAGATATTGCTGATACCCCTGTAACATTATCTTATTTGTTAATATTTGCCTCTTACAAACTGTTCATGATAGTCCGGGCCTTAGTTATAAATAAGGAATTTTGCCGATAGAAGGAAGAAAGAAGTCAGTACATTTATCATAAAATAATGATATAGTTTGCCATTGTTGTCTTTTCTAGTAAAATATGTAATATGAAAAAGATATGTCAGACTTTGTAGTAATTTTTTATTAGAAGTTCACAGGAATATAACCTGTTAATGTAGGGAATGAAAATGACAGTTGTTCAATTCTCCTGAAGATGTTATATTTTAGTAAATAGTAAGGAGAGAGATTTGGTTAAACATTGTTCGGAACCCTTGTCTTTCAATGTACACGTAATTAATGAATCAAAACCAATATATATGGGTATGGTAGTTTGAATTTTATTTGATTGTAAGAATATTACATGTTTAGAAACAACATATGATCTTGAAGAATATCCACTTTGGAAAAGGAACTATGATTTCAATTGAATTACGACATACAAAGTTAAATATTAGATCCTCTAAAATACAATAAACATAAAGATTCTTGCAAACAAAGATAATGTTTCCTGCTCTGTCAGCTTGGGCCAGTACAGACATGTACTAGCTGGAATTCTTCTTTACCTCAGAATCATTGAGAAGATAGTCCAAGCCTTATATGCGAGAGTCCAATGTTCATCATACAATTTTAATCCATATTGGAAAAATCTCTTTTTCATGTTTGACCCATTGCCTGGCGTAATCTTGGACAATTTCAAAATATTTATGATTTTTTTAGACCAGAAGAAAAAAAAACCCTTAATTTTTTGGTTTGTCTAACTATGTAATTTAAGGAATTCATTTTTTAACCAATACGTATTGACGTCACCAGAAATGACGTTTCTAGCAGAGTATAATTGTACATGTAATGCTAAGAATAACATGAACACGTACTAGGGGGATTTGTTTGAAAGTTCAATGTCCACACGATGTAGAGTCTTTGTGCAATTAAATACTTTGGAAGCAATTAATACAGTAGTAGATGGATATTTGTAAGGTAAAAAAGTGTGAACTTCAACATGAAATATGTTGAAATACAATTCTGCACACTTTTGCGAAAAAGAAAACGTTTAAATTATATTTACTGCGTCAGTTACATGTTTGTACTTATTGGTAATTTACATTGCCATCTGTTGGAGTTTGTCCAGTTTGACAGCTTAAGAGGTAAAAAAATCACATTTTATTCAGTCATGGCTCATAAAATTATCAATTTCTTTTAAAGATGAAATTTAAAAGTACTATAAAAATACATTTCCTTTTTAATTTTTAGAAATAGTAAAGTTTCCAGAGACAATGCAAAATGTTAAATGTCAATGTTAGATCTGGAAATATATGTAAAAAACTTTCGAATACATTTGTAATTAGCACTAATGGACAAAAAATAACCTGAAAAAAGTGGTAACAGGGCAGCATGTATGGATGATACAAATGGGAGCACTTCTAAGTAAGGAACAAACAATTGTATCCTATGGAAAAGTGCGCTATGGACAGACAGTTTTCTATAATTCATGATGAGAGATCAATTTGATGATAAGGCATTATGTGTTCCTAGCGACTCTATTACTTACACCATCAAGAGGATGTTGGAAATAAGAACTGGAAATAAACGCTGTCATTAGTCATGGGATTCAAGATTCCCCCGGATATAATTCCCTGACCCCCCAAGGGTCATGTGATACGAGCTAAATGAAAACAGCTTGGTTGATTGGTATAAATTATTAATTCCATTGTTCTCATACTGCGGTCCTAATGAATTCTTTCTGTGTCAATTAGTGAGATATGCACTAAGCTTAATTCTGTCGATTCTTTAGATGTGTTCTTTTAGGGAATTATCTCGATATAAATCAGCTGTAAAGGGTATGAGAGCCATTTGCCTGTAAGTATATTTATGTACTTGCTTGCTGGACTGTGTGTGATGGAATAAGAGCCCAGGAAAGCATTCACCCAACTCATCAACAGTGGAATATGAGGACCGTTACATGTAGATCTTTCGAAGTCCAGTGTCGCAGTAGTTATTGGCATGATATGTCTATAATTTCCAATTGTTTTCCTACAAAAGTGAATCTTGTTAACTGCTGTTAGCCCTGAGTGCGTATTAATATGCTAAAGAAAAAATATAGGAACAGTGTATACATTTGCAACCACTCACTGATAAATTAAGGCGGTTTGTCTATAAAAGCCTAAATATGGCTCTTCATCAATATGTCAATATAGAACTCTATATATGACTTCATACACATATATAATGTCTACAAGACTTTGATCATAATTTCAATTTCTTTTGTTGTTTATATATGTATATTTGACCCCCTATTTTTTTTATAAAATGGCTCCTTTTAAAATATGATTTATTTTAAGATGGTTATTTCAAGTAAAAATGGAAAATGACTCCCTGGTATGTCTCTAAATTTATAAGTCTCACTGATATATGTCTATAGACGACTCGGTATTACTCCTCGATATGTCTACAGGCTCTTTAACGACATTATGGTATATCTGTAGACGACTCCATATGACTTTTTAATTATGTTTTTAGACACCTCACTATGACTCCGTGGTATGTCTTTGGACTCCTTAATGATCCCTTGATATGACTTTAGATTCCTAAATGACTTCTTGATATGTTTGTAGACTGATTTCGTCATATGTCTGTTGTCTCATAGCCATAGCTATGGCTTTTGTCTGCTGATTATCATGCAAAGACCCTTTTAATATACCTACATAAAATAACCGTTATCTAAGGATATATATAAGTGGTGCTATTTTCAATGCCGCATTTAGCCAAAATGTTTTAAAGGAAAACAGAATGACAGATCACTTTCTCTAAGGCTCCAATCACCTCGGTCTATTTTCTTCCTGAGAAAACCCCCTGGTTCTGTCACTATATCCTTAAGTGATATACGTATAAAATAGATACCGTGCTCTGTAACATTTAGAAGTTTCTGATCTATGTTTTCACACATCAGAGCAGTGGTGAGAGCTTGTGATCAGAAGACGTCAGAACTCTCGGCAGATTCTCAGCTGCTCTTCTGAGTACGAAGAGAAAATGACAAGTAGGCTGTACAGTATGATAAGACATCAATATGTCTGAAAACATTGATCTGGAAATGATAGTTATGCATTGATTCTATTATTTACTTATGTAAATTCGGGACACGATATAAAACATGCGTATAGTAAGTAATTAAATTCGACACTTTGACCTCATTTTTCACAATAAATTCAAATACCACATCGGATTGGCAAGAGTGACATCATATGTGTGTTCCATAAAGTAAAAATATAAAATATATTCTTTCGACAATCCTACGGTAATTATTATGAAAAGTGGAGTTTCTTCCAAACATTACTGCTCGGCCGCGTAACGCAGTGGTTAGAGCTCAGAGTCGCAGAGTGAGGATTTTGTCAATGTGTCGCCGAGTCTAACTGTGGGACGTGGAGACCGGTCCTTCGGTTGAGACCGTATTATAAACCGAAGCCCCGTATTGCATA